TATTTCGTAACATGATAAGCGAAATAGTTACGTGTTAAACTGTTAGTCTTTTGCCTGATTGTGGCTTATTTATTACAATCGGCAACTATTACTATTTATTTTGTAGGTATAAAAGTACATATTGTTAGATAAGCCAGTATATTAAATACTGTCTGTAACGCGAGTAGTAAACAATTAAATAAAACACTTAAGTGGTTACCCGTGACCACGGCTGCTGCAGAGCATGCGAAACGTCGGGCCGTAGCTAAACTATCTCAATTCTTATTTAAAAGTTGCATATATAATATGCAACTTAAGGGTTTAATACGCGATATATATTAGTTAAACATATTTGAAAATTATTTTAACAACTTTTTGATTTGCAGCAGCCGTGGTCACGAGAAGACACGGGGAGACGACACACATCTGCTGCAAAGCATCCGAAACTTTGGGCGTTAGGTTGAATTATTGTCAAATAAGTTAAACTAATATGTATCGGATTTTAAACCGTTAACGTGTTTTATTTAAATGTGTACTACTCGCGTAAAGTACACACAGTATTTATATGCAATTTTTTTAAATTGGCGTCCTTCATTTTTAAATTCCACGTATAGATGAAGCATCTTGCCTTAAGACGCGCACCTGCATTGCAAAACGATCTTACTACGTTAAGAAGTTAGCAAAGAACTCGTCGAGAAGAAATTTAAACTTCGGTAATATATCACAAGTATAGAACAACAACGTACTTTAAAATTGATCTTGGAAATCCACAGTTTCCAGCAGTTATACGTCTTCTGCTATTGTCTATCTATTTTAGTTACATGAGAGAAGTTTAAGAAATGTATTTATATAGATATCATTACTTAATTTTTTGGGAATGGGAGTGAGAGTGGGAGTGAGTAGAGGAGTGAGAGTGGGAGTTAGAGTAGGACTGTTGCGGCAAGGTGTGCTACCTTACAACACAGACACAGATTGGCTGAATTGGCTTGAATGCGCCTTTTTCGATTACATGCATTGTAAAACCTTTTGCAGTACAAAAAGGTAGTAAGGGGTTGAAAGAGATATGAAAAGTTGTGTGGATGTATCGTAATTATTTTTTATTGAAATTACTAATATTATAAATGCGAAAGTAACTCTGAAACACTTTAACACTTTACTTGCACATGTGTCTTATTAACTTTATAAAATACGTAAATAAACAGCCTAAATAATTAAAAATTCTATCCAAAGTCACAATTCCACGAGGACGGAGGCTGTAAAACATCACGCTTCGACCAAAAACAGTGAAGAAAGCGCTGTGTTCTCTGAAAAAACGGTTCAAGATATCCAAAAAATAACTTCAGAAGTATGATTCCCTTTTCAATGATATAAAAAAATTGTCCGCGACATCATATCTCTATCTTTTAAGATTAACATGCAAGAACGGCAGGACGCGAACGATGTGGGTAAGAGCCATAATTTAAAGGTGAAAAACAAATTTTGACGCCCAAAATAACTGTTCTACGCGGACGAAGTCGCTGGCACAGCCAGTAATTAAAGCAATTACCAGTAGAAGTAGGCCGCCAAGTCAGTGCATCTCTGTAATTAGTCAATATAAAATTCGTATTATGGTAGTAAATGTGATAAAGAATGCGTGTCGTTCCCTTCTCATTTCAACAATTTATTTTATTGTTTGCGATGTTTTATTTTCAAATATAATTGTTCAACATTTCACAAACTACACTATTGGGATTACGCTGTCAGATATAAATTGGTCTCCACTAGTAACATATCAATGTTAAGCTTTCTCTGATGTAGCACTTGCGACTTCCCGTCTAAGGGGTCCTCATTTCACTAAGGTTTTCCATGGCGTCACGGAGATACATTTTGTAAATTATTAATGACGTTATATATCTTTAATTGCTCTCACAACATTATGTATACTTACTCGTATATGTATGTAGAAGGAAACAACCATAGCGTAGCAAATTAATTAAGAAATAACGGGTGTCAGAATTGTGGAGCTCTACCTCCCTTCTTTTTATATTACCAAGTATTGTCTGTTGTTTACGCGAGAGTAGACATTCAATAAAGCACTTTTAATGGTTTAAAACTCGAAATATGTTAGTTAACTTATTTTAATTTAATTTAAATATGATTTGAAGTTTCAGATGCTTTGCCGTAGCTGTGGTCACGTGGAACTGAAGTTCGAGTGTGTCCCCAATGTCAAAGCAAAAGCTACGACGAAACAGATGGCGCTCATTAATATAAATATATTATATATTTTGGGTATTGTATATGCATGTACGCTCCTTTATTTTAGTTAATCACCTTTAATACATACTATAATGTATGCTGTGTTCTATGTTTATTTTAGTTTCCGTTAGCTCTGCGAGTGCTACAGAAAATCGGCGCCAATCAAGCTTATCCATTGAGGACTGGCTAATCCGTTTCCCAATTTACTGCGTTCTTTGTATGCACTTCTTTACTTTAATTTAGTGGGGTTAAATGAAACTGTATCGGTAAGTTAATGTTATAAACGATCCGCGTCTCAGCTGTAGGATAATTGGTCAACAATACATTTAATAAGCATCGTTTTTTGTCTGGTTTCATTTATTTTTTACGGAAAATTATACTATGCTGCAAACCAGCACGTGTAACGGCTCCTGTCTCCAGTTTTTCTCGAGAATAAAATGTAAACTTCCAGCTAGCTTGTTGTGTTTGATGTTACTATTTTCTCTTTTATCAGACTCGTCTGCTCTCAGCAATTTAAATATATATAAAGTCGCTTTAATGCTTATTTCGTTTTTATTATTTTTGTTGTCGTTTCACATTCGGAGTTCGAGTAATTCATTTAAAAATTTGCAATTCTTCTTCAATTTATTCTTGCGAACTTATTTGGTTTGATTTGATTGTTAAGGGATCTTATTAAAAAAGTATACTTCAAGTTCACAGCGATTCTTTTCACATTTAATAGTCCGTGTAGTAGCAATCAAAAGTCATTCGCTGAGTCTGATTATTTGAAAGATATAATCAAACTTGGAATACTAAGAATTCTACACAATTTAACCCAAAAAGCTTCGCTTATTACGTGAGGAATAACGAAAAAAATAAAAATCTTGCGTCCCTCAATAAATACGAAATACAGGCCCAATATTTGGCATGTTTTCTAATAATCTACATGAATGTATTGGCGACGTTTCCACCATTGGCTTTATGATGAAACTAGTTTACCCCAATTTTGTGTAATTTGACTTTTGCCCTTTCAAATCAAGCAATATTGTTTCATTTGTAGACATCTCTTCATATAATAAAATCGTTGTTTGTTTGAAATTATCGAAAGCATTTTCGTACTCTTGTCATTTCGGAGAAATTTTAATCTTTTAGTGTGTTTCTAAATGGACCGTCCTTAGGGCGTTAATAAAACTTGCATTGTGATATTAGAAAAGGCTTTTTAGGGTTCAAATACAAAATTTGATTTCATTTGTGAAGCATCGCATACAATAATTCATAATAAAGAAACATATATTTTGTGCTTTGAACCGTTAAAAGTGTTTTATTCATTGTGAACCATTCTACAGACTAAAGACTATATTTGGTCATATATTTTGAAAAAAAAATGGCGACAATTTCAGCTTCGATTTTAGAAATGAGTGCCACTTTATCGTACTGTAATCGTCATTCAAAGGGTGTATTCGGTATTAGAGGCATCGCAATATACGGCGGCAATTACGGGTCGGGATCGATGCGAGTAATTAGCAATTACCACTCAATCGACCATCGGGGTTATTGAAACGAGCCCTGACGTAATCGGCTTACTGACAGCTACCAAGTTATGTTTACTATTCAATCTCTAAAGACAGCGCAGAGAACCGAGAATCACGTTACGCATTTATATAAGGCAGTAGAAATTGTTTGCCTGGTTATTTAATAGCTGTGCCCGCGACTTCGCCCGCCTGGAATAGCTATTTTGGGTATCATCTTATTTTTGCAAATAACTTCCCTTAGCTTTATAAATTATAGTTGTAAACCACGTCGTTCTTGTATTGTTTTTAGATCATTTAAAGATGAATCATTCTATCGTATGATTACTAGATTTTTGGTTTTTCCGTTTTCGCAGCGCACGTATCGAAGCCCGTAAAGATAAATTAATTTCCCTGTATTTTTTTGCGTTTTGCACTCTTTCTTCTCTCCTATTAATTGCTGCGTGATATCATACAGCCTAAAGCCCTCTTATATAATATATAAATTGTCTATTACCACAAAAAAATATTAAAAAAATACAGTATTTCTAAAATTAACACGTTCAAAGAAAAAAGCAACCTCTTCATCATTACAATATTAGCCTAATGTGGTTAATGTGTTTAATTAAAATTTTATTTTATTTTCAATATTTCTAATATATGTTTGTATGTCCGAACTTCAATATTCCAAAATACTACCCGGTTAGCGCTTTAATTAGTAGAAAAAATAAGGATGATAAACAAAATATGTGACGCGGATAATGACGTAAAAAATAACGTATAAGTACGAAGAATAGAAGTAATTAAAAATAGCGGTGTAATAATATATTCTTCCTGAAGTAAATTTCCACGAAACGAGGAATTGCGAATAAAAGGTAATAAACTAATAATAGGATTTTAACGTACGTAGGGTTTCATTATGAACTGTGAAAGAAACCATTTATTTATAGGTCAAATACTTGTAGTAAACACTTTTTACATACGTAGTTTAATTTAATTCAAATAATAACTACTGTTAGGTCGGAAAAACAATGTTAAACTCTTAAATATTAATTTATTATCCAAAATTAGGCTTAACCGACAGAATGCGCGCCAACGTTCCTATTTGACAGTTCCTGAGCTAGTGTCGGGACGCGCGCGTTAATCGCGTCGCACTAGTGTTATGTCGTCCCCGCTAAATCGGAGGATTATTCATATCAGTTCGGCCATCCTGTGTAGTCCTTCGCCCTCGAAGGATGAAGTAGCGCTCCCGCTAAACCACCGCCATCAGGGCTGCCAGCGCAGCCACGTAGACTCGGCTCAGCCACCTAGAGGAAATAGCCTCGTAGGCAGTAAATAGCCCCGTAAGCAGATAATAGCCCCGTAGGCAGATAATAGCCCCGTAGGCAGTAATAGCCCCGTAGGCAGATAATAGCCCCGTAGGCAGTAATAGCCCCGTAGGCAGATAATAGCCCCGTAGGCAGTAAATAGCCCCGTAGGCAGATAATAGCCCCGTAGGCAGTAAATAGCCCCGTAGGCAGATAATAGCCCCGTAGGCAGTAATAGCCCCGTAGGCAGATAATAGCCCCGTAGGCAGATAATAGCCCCGTAGGCAGATAATAGCCCCGTAGGCAGATAATAGCCCCGTAGGCAGTAATAGCCCCGTAGGCAGTAATAGCCCCGTAGGCAGTAATAGCCCCGTAGGCAGATAATAGCCCCGTAGGCAGTAATAGGCCCCGTAGGCAGTAATAGCCCCGTAGGCATTAATAGCCCCGTAGGCAGATAATAGCCCCGTAGGCAGTAATAGCCCCGTAGGCACTATGCCAGAGGGGTGACAGCATCTTGCTTTAATTCGTCCTCTGATGAACAACTGTCTTGCGTAGCTTTCAAAACCTTCATTTAGTCACCTTATGACCAACCTTGTCACAATTGTTACACCTTGTTTAAGTTATTATTTTAAGCATTAAATGAACCCCAGGATTTCACTTCAACGCAGTCCGATGATGTTTTCATACAGGCCAGGTAAATTGCTTGAGCTATCACATCATCACTCATATTACATGTCATGCCAATACCCAACTTATCATAGTAAAATTTTATTGGGTCTTCATCTTTTGTCTTGATACGGTTAACAAGTTCCCTAATCTGTGACAACTTATTCTTAGTGAATGGAAATGCTGTAATTAATTTTATTTTCCACTCATCCCAGCTAATGTCATAGCAAGTTTGGCGTTCATACCAGCTTTTAGCATAGCCACCCAACTTAGAAGTGCAGTTGCAAATCAAAATGCGTTCATCCCAGCCATGCATATTAGCAACACCTTCTAAGTTACGGAGCCAATGTTCTACTGAGACAGATGATTTTTGAGGATTAAACTCAGGTATAAAATCATTCCGTACCACATAACGAACCACTGACTCTACTCTTGGTGTGGTGTCACCATTATTGTAATTTTTCTGTTGTAATTCTTTAATCAACCCTTCTAATGCTTCGATTCTCTTATTCTTCCTTTTAAGTTCTTTTTTTTGTCGTTTACTTTTAGATTGTCTATCTGAATTACTTGACCCTGACGAAGAAGCACTAGTAGACCTATTTCTCTTACGGTGTCGACCCATGTTAACAATTAAAACAAAGTCACACACAATAAACTTATACTGCTGTCTCCACTAATAATTCTCTTTGAATAAAGTAAACTTCTTTAACAAAAGTAATTAAATTCAGTAAAAGTTCAATTATCCAAATAGTCCTTAAATTTAGTTTAAAATCAGCACTTTAACAACTTAGAATAGTTCACTTTGTTTATTTATGGGTTGCTGAGCATTTTAACAGATATTAAAGTATGCTCAAATTATCAGTCTACTTATGTAAATACAAAAGTTCATGGAACAATCTCACCAAATAACCAGGAACATTTCAACACGCAACTGATGCATCTTCAAGCACCTTGTTGTGCAATCGTCACCGTACCAGGATAATTCACACAAATAAACCAGTTTCTCAACCAGAAAATGTTCACCCAAAACTTCTACAAACTTGTTGTACTGGAGGTCAGTGACCCTTAACGGATTAACAAAATTTGTGCAAAAATCAAGTATTAAGTACCGATCTGCATTAAACTTAGTTACTATAAGCGCTCTTATCACTAATTATGTGAGTCATCACAAAATTATATCATAAAAGCGTCTTTTCGCACCCAAAACCGCCAGTTTTATTTTTTCACCAAACTTTGCACTTTAAAAGTGAAATTATTGTCCAATTCATCAAAGTTCACTCGTGGGCAAGATCACTTATCGCACTTCTGATATTGTTAAGGTCGGAAAAACAATGTTAAACTCTTAAATATTAATTTATTATCCAAAATTAGGCTTAACCGACAGAATGCGCGCCAACGTTCCTATTTGACAGTTCCTGAGCTAGTGTCGGGACGCGCGCGGTAATCGCGTCGCACTAGTGTTGTGTCGTCCCCGCTAAATCGGAGGATTATTCATATCACTACCTACCTAAGACTTCGACTACTTAGCTTTAGAGCTTCGCGTATTTATAAAGGTAATTGATAAGCGAATTCTGGTATTTTTAGAAATTATGTAAGATTTAAATTAAATACTATAACGGTTTACTACGGCCCGACGTTTCGGATGCTTTGCAACAACTGTGGTCACGGCAAATAAGTTTATCTAATATACATATATCGCGTTTTGAACCGTTAAAGTGTTTTATTTAAATATGTACTACTCTCGTCAACTACAGACAGTATTTGATTATGTAAGATGTTTGACTTTTAAAAGATATAGGTAGTCATTTTGATTTCACATGTACTTTCGAGTCAAACCAAAATTTTACGACATTGTGTCAACATATCCCCCCCTTCCCCTCCCCGATTCGAAAGCGTGTAGACGTGTATTTTGTTGTAAAGTGAAGTAAAAAGTTTCGAATTATTTTAATTGAAATAAAGTGTGTTAAATCATTCGATGTACCAGGCCATCATAAACTGCTAGACGTCATTCCTCTGAGTGAGTAAGACGACATTATACACCTATCCCAGTTTCGCTAACGGCACGACTAGATGATTGGCTTGACTGCGCGTTGACCCAGCTGTCTATTGGCTGGTATAGATGCGCATGCGAAACCTATAAACGCCGCTGCATAATAATAGCAAACTTCGAAGTTGTGTTTTTAAACAAGACTACCCTCTTTAAGAAAAGCGAAAAAATGTTAAGATCTCCACCATCTGATTATCACCGAACTAATTCGGCTCCACAGATAAATGATACCAACGATGACCAGTCGCTAATTGGCAACATAACAATTCGTGGAGAAAAACGTCGCCGATTATCGAGCGAACAGATGTTAGATATGACATCCTTTAGGACACAAATGCAGGAAATGCTTTCCCAAATGTTTGAAACATTTTCAGAAAAACAAAGCCTGCTTTTTGATGATTTACATATGCGAATCAATGACATCGACACCAAATTAACTTCGGTGCAAACATCCAACCAAGAAATTGAGTCCAAATTGTCTACCCTCAATGAGCAAGTCTCTTCGATGCAAAATAAACTTTTAGAAATAGATGATGAACAAAAATCATTAAGCGACAAACTGATTAAGCTGGATATTAGGTTAAGTGGCGTTGAACGGTCATATAAAAAAACCTGTATCGAAATAAGAAATACCCCAAAAGTTTTGAACGAAAAGAAAAATGACCTTTTCAATATGGCATATGTAGTGCCCCTATAATGCAATCTCACTGGCTCGGCAACTCACTGTGTGCGCAGGCGACACGTCCGCTCTCGCCCCTTGGCTCTCGCTGCAATGACCGCGCACCCCGCCACACAGTAGGCACGAGACAGTGTCATACGTACTAAGGACTATAGGTTCTACTCAAACACTACATCTCTTCCTTATCAAAAACTTTTTTAATCATTTGATATAATTGACCTTGATTACTCTTAATAGTATATAAGTTAACAATTTACTGTAACTCACTGTTTTTTTTTTTTATTTCTACTGTTGTTTGTCAGATTAGGTTCTTGATTATCTTGCATTGATATCCACTCGCCTTCTACTCTCTTTAAAGGTAATAATGTTTCTCCTCAGGGTCTGTCCAGTTTCTTCATTGCTGACGGTAATATCTCCATTGTTTGCTGTCTCAACTATGTGTGGTGCTGGGTTATAATTTGGGGCAAGCTTGTGACATTTGTTATACATAAACTCTGTCTCCTCCACTCAAATCCACATTCTGTGCCTTTCTTCTTTTGTCTCCGTGTTCTTTTCCTCTCTCTTTTTGTTCTTTATTTTTGTCTCTAAGTTCTGTCTTTTGTAAAACAATTTTGTTGGTGTTTTCCCTGTTACAGAGTGAGGTGTTGAATTATACATCATGAGGTAGTCATTCAAGCTATCTTGTAAATCTTTTTTTCTCAATATTGCCAATATTCAGTCTTTTTAATATGTCTCTGTTTTGTCTCTCTACTTTGCCATTTTGTTGAGGCCAGTAGGCACTGTACTAAAAAGTTTTATATTACATTCGTTGCAAAAATCTTTAAATTTCGCACTCACAAACTGTTGTCCGTTATCTGCCGTTATTGATGATGGATAACCTAGGCTGCCAAAAATTTCTTTCAATAGCTTGATTATTACAACTAGTAATGGTCCTCGTTATCTTCACTTCCTTGTGACGGCTATAATAATCTACTACGACTAATAAATAATCATTTCTGGGTAATTGCCCTAGTAAATCCATGGCTATATCCACTCAAGGTGCATCTAGGAGTTCCCGACGTTACTTAGGAGCTGGCGGATTTGGTAATTCTACTAAAGTACAGCCCTTACAACTCTTTACCGGGCATCCAGAATCCTTGTCTATCTTTGGCCACCATACTTTGGTCCGTAACCGTCTTTTCATGCCGACAATCCCAGGGTGACCTTTGTGTGCAGCGTCTAGAACTCTTTTCCGAAGTATGGATGATATAACTATTTTATTTCCTCTTAGGAGTATATCACCGGAGAAGTACAATTAATTTTCTAAGATCTTATATCCTATGACATTATCTTCTCAGTTCTTGTCGTAGATACCTTGCTTTACTTTACGTATTTCCGAATCTTGCTCTGAATGCATTTTAATTTCGGCCATAGAAATCGCGCATGGTTTAGCATTTTCTACAATCTGGTTGACATGTTCGTCGTCACTGGTCTTTTTGCAATCTGAGATTATGCACAGTCGTGATAATGGATCTGCGATGTTCATCTTTCCGGGCTTGTATATGATGTTACACCAATACGTCTGTAAACGTAGTACCGACCTCTATCCTAGCACAACGTTTTGACTTCACTCCAAACAAAACCTCCAAGGGTGTATGATCAGTGATTAAATCGAACTTCTTGCCGAATAGAAATATATTAAAATGCTCTATAGCCCAGACCAAAACCAAAGCCTCTTTTTCAGTTTGGCTGTATCTACGCTCGCATTCAGTTAATGTGCGATTCCCAAAAGTAATAATTCGGGGTCTTTTGGCATCAATTTGAACCAAAACTGCGCCTAATCCGACAGGGCTGGCATCAGCAATATAATAATAATAACCTGGGTTTTGTCGTTTATCGTAGTCCAAGGTTTTCAATGTTGGTCAGAGATTTTTTTTTAAGTTCTCAAAAGCCTGATTCTGTTCTTGGGTCCATAACTCCTCGATATTAGCATTTTTGCCAAATTTCTTCCTAAGTAATTGTTTCAATGGCTCTGTCGTCGTTGTTAAGAAGCCCAAAAAGCTTTGCAACATTTCTTTTTTAAAGCTTTTGTTGTGCAATGCATGTTTTGTCAGTGACTAGGTTATATTTAGATCCGGAATCCACCAACATTTTAGTTTTTTATACCCACATCACGTTCTATATTTGCATCATTATTGATATTAAAATCAGTTCCTTCCAATTTTCTTTTTCTCAGTACCTGTCTTGTAATACTGCTTGCCTATTTTTCCACATGCATAGCATACTTTGCCTAACGCCGGACAGTTTTATAACATGACAAGTGTCTCGAATTTCCACATCTGTCACACCCTTTATTTGAATTTGACCTGGACCTACTCCTGCTAAATCTTCCTTTATTTCTCGAAGACTCCGCTGCATGCACCTCTGTTCATTTATTTAGCTGACCATATTCTTCCAATTGACGTTTTACAACTTCTAGAGTATTAGCCTCTGTGATTATCTTGTCTAATGTTACACTATCTCGTATTGTCAAAATTTTCTTTCGCAAATCAACAGAGAGGCACTTCTCTATTATTTGATCGATTAGGTGATCGTCCGGTTTATCAAATTGGCATTTTTCAGCTTGATTCCGCAGCCTTACTAAGAACTTTTCGAATATTTCACCTTCGTCTTGTCTTATTAAACGATACAAATGTCTTTCATAAATTTCGCTTTGCTTTAGAGTGAAATAATCGTCGAGTCTCTGAATAGCTATATCAAAAACATTATTATCACCAGAGGGTGTAGCATTGGCACCCAGGAAACTATAGAAAATTTCTTGAAGGCCCGATCCACCAAGAAGTAGAAGTCTCGCCCTTTTTTCATCGGTGTTGTTATATCTGTAGCCTCTTAGTATATATTTAATGAACGTTTCCACTTTTTCCAAATGGCCTAATGACTATCTCCCTCCAAATCCAACTTTTCCAATGTAGGTAGATTTGTCATGAGCTGAAAGGCGCGACATGAAAATAATAAAACCTTTCGCGATTTTGTTTGTAAATTTCCAATTTAATGGTGGTACTTCTATGCCAGATGCCTAATTTAATGGAGGTATAAACTACCATGTATTTCCAATTTAATGGTGGTACTTATGTCCCAGATTCCCAATTTAATGGAGGTATAAACTACCATGTTTTCCAATTTAATGGTGGTACTTATGTGCCAGATTCCCAATTTAATGGAGGTATAAACTACCATGTTTTCCAATTTAATGGTGGTACTTATGTGCCAGATTCCCAATTTAATGGAGGTATAAACTACCATGTTTTCCAATTTAATGGTGGTACTTATGTGCCAGATTCCCAATTAAATGGAGGTATAAACTACCATGTATTTCCAATTTAATGGTGGTACTTACGTGCCAGATTCCCAATTTAATGGAGGTATAAACTACCATGTTTTCCAATTTAATGGAGGTATAAACTACCATGTTTTCCAATTTAATGGTGGTATTTTATACCATTGACTCCCAATTTAATGGAGGTGTAATTAACCACAAATTTCCAATTGAATGGAGGTATTTTATACCATTGATTTCCAATTTAATGGAGGTATCACTGTACCACTTATTTCCAATTGAATGGGGGTATCATTGTACCATTTTCTTTTTTTGAGTTAACTAACTATACATGAGTATGCACAAAACTATAGAAGTGGGCGATGTAACATTTTACACTAGTAGATTTATATAAAAACGTCTGCAATTCCATTTTAAGTTGATATAGTGGGTACTTATATACGCCAAAATATATAACAATATACCAAAATAAAATTAAACAAATAAACTCCTACAAATTATTTAAACAAAGAATAAAAGAACATATTTTAGTATATGTTCTTTTATGCAAATTAAATTAATTATAATTAACAAGTAAATTGTGCACATAGATACAACCTACAACAAATAAAAAATATATCTAAAGCAAAAACAGAAAATACTATAAGTAAATCAAATTCATGAAACTATAAAACTAGATGTTTCTGTCTAAAAATAATACAGAAAAATAATAAACTTAATGTGATGTGCGAATGCATCATCTGGTATCGCTTATCTTTGTATGTTTACTCGATCAGCTGCGTTCGCGCCGACGACGTCAAAGCTAGATAATAATACCAAGACATACTGTTCAACTACCTCCTTCTTATAGTTGTGTTAAATAACAATACTGTCCAAATTTCAATGTAATATTTAGTTAACCTAGTAATGAGTGAATGTGTACATTTTTTAATAAATGTCTAAAACCACTTGTAACATTTTAGAGGGTACGTAATTAATATAACTTAAGGTATAATTGTAATAAACATAAATAGTAACTATATTGTATACCGACCCATAGACTTTGCTTTCCACGCCATCATCCGCAAGCGTGTAGCTTCCCTCATGTATCGAGTTCGACAAAGCACCATAAGCATTCTGGAGGCATTGTGTGAAAAGTATACGGTGCTGCTAAAACGATGGATTGACGTCCATGCTCCCCCCTTAGCGCCTAGCACCTATTCTATGTATTCTGTCTACTTAATTTTAGTGACTAACACATTCTAATATACATTTTAAGTTATAATTGTTACTAACCCAACTAACGCACATTAGAATTAATTAAATTAATGTATGGATTTATGGTCCGACAAATAAATTATTATTATTATAGAAACACAATAAAAACTTTTATCGGGTCCGCACTTACATTGAATAATAATTATGAACATCTGCACCCGCACTATGTTGTTTAGAAGTTGCAGCGAACCGGCGGGTAGTTATTTATTCGGAGTCTAAAACTAAAATTTGTAACAACCTGTTTGTGACACCAGCGATAAGGGCACTATTATGCCAATATAGACAGTACGTAGCAACTTAAATTCCACAACTATTAACAACAATGAGCGATATTAACATAGTTTTAATAAAACGAGTCACGAATTAAATAAACAAATGTAATTGTACTCTTGAGCGGTTGTAATTGCCTGTAGGTAATTTCACAATGGTTTGAGTGTTAATGGTTTTTATCATTATTATTTCTTTTTTTTTTTTTTTTAGTACATTGACCCCTTTTATTTTATTTCAATTTGAATTATATAAATTGAATAGTCTGACCTTTGTCCTCGTCGCCACTTGTAGTGCCCCTATAATGCAATCTCACTGGCTCGGCAACTCACTGTGTGCGCAGGCGACACGTCCGCTCTCGCCCCTTGGCTCTCGCTGCAATGACCGCGCACCCCGCCACACAGTAGGCACGAGACAGTGTCATACGTACTAAGGACTATAGGTTCTACTCAAACACTACAGCATATAATTTGACAAAGTTTCTCGGTATGGAACATTTAAAAGATCGCATACGCGATGTGCATCGATTCCCCGCTTACAAAAATTCTTCAGCTTCAACAATAAATATTGAATTTTCGGACACACTAACTAAATGGAATATTTTAAAGGCCGCTAAGCAGTACAATAGAGAAAACCCAAGTGCAAAATTAAACAGTGTTCATCTAAAAATAAACAGTTCCCAAACACCGTTGTACATCTCGGAATCATTGTCACAATGTACGAAGCAGTTATACTACCTAACTCGGCAATTCATAAAGACCGAAGGATATTTGTTCTGCTGGGTTATAAATGACAAAGTCTACATAAGAGAAAAGGAAGGTGCACCCCATATACTTGTGAAAAGTGAAGAACATCTACAACTCCTAAAAAAATGACTAGGTCATCTTATATTTCATTACTCTTTTTTTCTAAACTATGTTAATTTAAGTACACTATTTTTTTTGCATGGCTATATAAACCCTGCGTATAGAAGCCTATGCTACATTACAAAAACGTTATATATACACATAACAAGTAATCTATTACTGCGCCTCTTTAGCAATAGACATATTACACTCCTTCGTTATTATACAATAATAATATATATTATAAAATTACTTATTATTACATTTACACAACTATACACAAAGTTATATCTATCTATTATATATTATTACACACTCTGCCCTGCTACTGCTCGTCTAGATCGGAATCAATTACTATTTTTCTATAAAATGTATTCAGATCACGATACTGTCGTGGTCGCATATAAAAATCTCAATATGGGCAGACCCGTACTTGGATGCCACTCTGTGTTGTCTGAGTATAGGTTTGTATCAAATGCAATCCTTTGATATGATAGGATCCGATCTGGACAATTTTGCAGTAGCAGAAGAAATAAGATGTGACATCGAAAACGTTCAAAATTATATGTCACATAAAGACACACTTAATATCTTTTCTCAAAATATCCGTAGCATAAACCGTAACATGAACAGTCTTTTAACCATTTTACAAAGATCTAGTACCTTTTGGGACGTACTAGCATTGTCAGAGTGTTGGCTTCCGTGTACTAAAAAACTACCAACAATCAAAAACTACCATTGTGTTTGTACAACAATTCACAAGACTCAAAATGAAGGTGTTGTGTTCTATTATAATAAAAATCTTAAAGCGATCCCAGAAGAAGCTGCAGTTGCTGATGC